AAAAAAATTAGTAATAATATAAATATTATATAAATATAAATTTATTATTTTTAAAATTAATTTAATTAATATGAATTTTATCTTTGAAATAATTATACATATTATATAAAATATATATTGCAATTTTTTTTGATATTTCAAATAAATAATAAAATAATATTTATTATAAGAGAAATAGCTAGAATATAAAAGATTAATTCATTTATAATTTTTCATATATATAAAAGATGATATGAAAATAATATTCTTTAAAATACAAATAAAACTGGATTTTTATATATATTAAATAAATAACAAGAAAGATAAGTTGTTTATCTTATTATATTTTATGATAATTTCACTATTCTCAAGTTTAAAATCACATATATTAAGCTAAAAATATTTAAATCTCAGAGCATACTATTTATTATATATTTTAAAATATAATTTAATAGCAAGAATCAAAAACGTCATATCTAAAGCCAGAACACAAGCAATATCATCTTCAATTTGTCAAAAGTATAAAAATTGGATCAATGAGAATTGGTCAAAAATTATATAGTTAATGAATCCAAATTTAAAGTTTTGGATCAGATAGATGTGAATATTATTGAAAAAGATCAGATGAATCATTAAATAGCTCACATATTAAGCTTATAATCAAATTTGATGATAAAATAATAATTTAATATTGCTTTAGTTCTTGTAATCTTGAAAATTTTTGTAAAAATTGATAGAATAATGGATACTGCATTATATCAACAAATTCTTGCAGATTAGTTTCTAACTACTGTTGAGAAACAAGAATTTACTTTCAATAATGTCATTTTCCAACAGGATAATGACCCTAAACACTATGATAAATATAGATGATGGTTTGCTGATATAATGTACATGTTTTGATTATTATTTATGGTGTCTTTCTGGATCAATTTCGGATAAAGAAGATCTGTAGAACAAAATACAATAAGTATGGAAAGAGATTGACAGAATTATTGTTCAAATTTAGTTCATTCTATGCTAGAACAAATTCGTGATGTAATAAAGGACTATACAAGATGATAGAGAAATGTTTAATTTGTATTAGTTATAAAAAAAATTTATCGAAGTGTAATAGTTTTGTTTTTATTGATGTTGTATAATGTATGCTCAAAAAGAACAAAAATAACAGCGAATTTTGAATAAATGCTGTGTTTATAAGATAATTCGAACAATTGACCCATCAAATAGAATAGAACAATAAATTACTATTTGTTATAAATTAATCTCTATTTGAGAATTATAATAAAAATTTTCCTGAAAAGTGGAATTTTTCATTTATTTCTTTTTGTGCAAGATAAAGGAAAATGCAACTTGTTAATTTAATTTTTGCAATATTGACATTCAATATACATGGAACTTTTTCGTCTTACCGTACTGATACGTATTCAAATAAAACTTCACCAAAATGGAACACCAATTCAAAACAATATTGAAATCGTTTTTCACACATATACTTGTATTTCAATGATAACGATAAGATACGGCAGTACTGAGGCAAAAAATTGTGGTACTAGCAGGAAAAGAAAAACTTCTATTAAAGTCAATATTTTTCAATAATGTTATGTGTATGTTTCATGGAAGAATAATTTGCTATCCTCCCGAAAGCTTTTCGTGAAATTTATATAGGTTGGATTTTACAAGAGGATACGATTTAAAACATCGCTCAATTGTTGAAAGCTGGCAAACAACGCTAATATATAACAGAAATGCTATTAAAGCGTTTGAAATTACTAAAAAATAATAAACCATTTAGGGAATTTGTTTCAAACTTCTCAAATATGAAAAGTTGGTTATAACTTGTCTTCACATCGAATTAGGGGATTCGATACTTTATCGCACTTTGCGTGTTTTTTATTGTCAGAATTGTATGTCAACTTTCTATTTAAAAACTCAAAACCAAAGTCATGTGACGACTAAATGTTACGCCATAGAAATTTCAACATGTTGTGTATTTTTGAATTTATTCTCAGAATATTACAATTAAACATTCTAAATCCGCTAGAGGAAAATCCATAGACAAGTTAAGAATTTAGCTAGAGTGGAGGTACAAACTGCCGCTAGAGCAGAATCTGTAAGCAAGTACAAACTGTCGCTAGAGCAGAGTCTGAAAACAAAGTACAAACTGTCGCTGGAGCAGAGTCTGTAGACATGTACAAACTGTCGCTAGAGCGGAATCTATAGACAAATACAAATTGTCGCTGGGGCAGAGTCTGTAAACATGCACAAAATGTCGCTGGAGCAGAGTCTGTAGACAAGTACAAACTGTCGCTAGAGCGGAATCTATAGACAAGTACAACTGTCGCTAGAGCAGAGTCTGTAAACAAGCACAAAAAGTCGCTGGAGCAGAGTCTGTAGACAAGTACAAACTGTCGCTGGAGCAGAGTCTGTAGATAAGTACAACTGTCGCTAGAGCAGAGTCTGTAAACAAGTACAAAATGTCGCTAGAGCAGAGTCTGTAAGCAAGTACAAATTTCTCTGGAAATTTCTTATAAAAAGCACGCTTCTCCCAACCGTTAACCGTTAGGGGCAAAAAAAACATTCAAAAAATTAATACAGATCATAATTAACACAATGATCGCTCCCCCCAAAAAAATTACTATAACCGCCAAAGAAGTAGCTGAATTTAGATTACATAACCAATTAAAACAGAAAAAAAAGAAAAATTTCTCAAGATCCATCACTGAATTTGATGTCTATCAACTTGCAACGAAAAAGGCCAACGGATATGGAAATAGACTGCCTTTACCCAGTAAAGAATTCTTCAAAAAATGCGGCGAATTTTGGAGAGGAATAGAGACTCAGCATGATTTAAAATGTGAATATAAAAAAATAGCGCAAGATGCACAAAATTATTTAAATGAAAGAATGGCATGCTTAGAATCCTTTGACATCATATACGCATATCCGGAATGTAATCCCGCGGCCTTGCAAATACCCTCTATTTGATCCCGCTATTTGACTTCACGCACTTTTTCGGATTGGAAATATCCATAACTCCGGTTTGAAATCGGCTAAGGATAGTCAATGCCAACAAATTAAACGTCAAAACACAGCTCGAAAATAGAATTAAAAATTAATAAATATCACTTTATCAAAAATAATACATGTGTTTGCTTTCATAGTTAAATTTGAATTTTTCGTATTTAATGTGAATATTTCATATGTATGTATTATCTTTCAATAAACTTTTACTTATACATGTACTGTACATGTAACTGATTACGTATTCGGACTTCGTGGAAAAACTGCGATTTAAATTATATTAAAGTTTTAGTTAAATTTCTTTATTTAAGATGAAATTGTCGTAAAAAATAGCAGATACAATTGTGCGCTATTTTTCCTTTATCTTAACGGGCGTCCTATGCTAATTAGCTATAAGTCGTGTTTCAAAAAATCCGGTTTAGCAAGGAATTGGTTTAAAAGGGTCGGTTTGTACATGTACTATCATATGTATTATTCACTATATATGTACATGCAGTCACTCCATTTTAAACGGGAGAGCCAATACATGTATAAACCGGATTTAAAAAATCAAAAACTGCGGCTGACTAGCGGTACATGCGTATATACTTTATAAGGAAAATCCGTCGGTGCAAATTTTAATTAGGTCCGTAGATCATCATTATACAGCTTTTGAGTATTAAAGGTTATCATACATGTACAGTACATGTACAATGAAAAAAGAAGGGCTGGGACATCTGATCATCTAGCCATGATAAAAGTCACTGATCATGTGATTTTTATGGAGTAAAACCAATCAAATCGTAAGATATGAAATGTTAATAGCGTTTTATTAAGAGTTAGAGTCGAAAGTTAAGATTATATTATATATTACGTGAATAAGTAATTTCGTAAGGAACAATTTTTGTTAGAACACAGAAAGACGAAATTTCGAGATAAATTTTTTACATTTGTTGAATATACATTGATTTTACTATTTGATTGGTTTATTTCCTATAAATCACATGAATCATAACTATTTAACAAATCAAATTGTTAGATCAAAATATGATATATAATTCAAATAAAAAAGATCTTTTTGTTTGTATCTTAACTTTTATCTATTAAATTGCTTTTTATATTCTATTAAAAATTATTTCTTGTAAAATTTTGCTTATATAAAAAATTTTTTGCTAAATAATTCTAATAATAAATTAAATTAAAACTTTTAATTAATATTATTTTTATTTTTTGATTAAAATTAATTAATATTAATATTATATTAAGATGATAAAACTTATCTAAAGTAAAATTTAATAATAAATATTTTTAATATAGTATAAAAGTAGTTTTATAAGTAAAAATTTTGAAATACAAGCTATTTTTTAAAAAATTAAATTGAATTTTATTTTTTATTTTGCTTTGAATTATATATTATATCTTGATTTTATATTTATTAGTTGATCTTATAGTTAAAATATTAATTAATTCATATTACTTATAATACTAATTAATTCATATTACTTATATAATACTCTAATCATATCAAAAAGTATAGTAATATTCAAAGATAATACATTAGCAAGTTAAATTTATTAATAAAATATAATAAAAATTGAAACTTTTCTTTATATTAAACTTTATAATTTTATTAATAATAATTTTATTTTTATATCAAAAAAGTTCATAAATTATAATATAAAAAATATTTTTTTCAAATTTTTTAGATTTTACTGAAAGAATTATTTTAAGTATAAAGTTATTGCAAAATTTTTTTCTAAATAAATTTCATTTTTAATTAAAAAATTTTTGTAATAACTTTGTAATTAAAATAATTCTTTAGAAAAAATCTAGATAATATATATTAAACTATAAATTATGAACTTTATTTTAATATAAAAATAAAAATTATTTTTTAAAATATAAAAGAGTAATATTATTATATTTTGCTCTTAGTTTCTAATAATAAACTAATAATTTAAGTAACTATTTATAATGTGTAAATTATTTTTTGAATAATATTATATGTCTCTCTTTATTTTCTAATTTCTCTTTAAAATTATAAATTTTATATAGAGAAAATTTAATTTTTTTATATTTATTAATAAATTAATTCTCTGATTTCACTTTATAATTGAAAATATTAATGCAAGTTTAATAACATTATACTAATATAATTATTTAAGCTAATTACTAAATATTTATTAATATTTGTAAAGTAATTATCAATAATTAAGTTGAACAAGTAAATTGGTATTTTCATTATTATTTGACTTTATATTACTTTGAGCTGACATATTGCTATCATTATTTTAAAATTATTATATTAAAAGTTTGCTAAGTATTATTATTTCAATTTGATATAATTATTAAATTCTTTATTGAATTATAATATTATGAGACTTTATACAAAATCTTAAAAGATATTCAGTCTTATTTACAGGATAATAAACAAATGAGAGTTGCTATTATTAAATTATTAATTGCTTATGCAATTGAATAATGAGCATTAACTATTTCTATTCTATTGATCAGATTCTGAAGCACGAAATACGAGAATACGCGTGGTATTCATATTTGCCCGATTCGTATCATTATTTATTATGTTAGATTGGCAATGGAATGTTGCTATACTCTTGCCGTCTAAAACGCCTCAAATTGGAATAATTATAAACATAACCATTTTACAACAAAAGTTGAACTAAAACAAAGTTTAAAAAGAATCCAGAACTAGTGGTATGCGATATCCGTTGTGTGACAATCTCGCTTGTGTTACTGTTCGAGTTTCTTGAAATAAGCTTATGATCACGTGCAATACAAATAGCGAAAAAACAATCGTAATACATGTACACTTCTCGTCAATGAAAACTCTATATTGGACAGCGACCAGCATCAGAGGGAAATTGTAACCGCCAAATCGATAATCCAAACGTTTCGTAATACATGTACATGTACTTCTCGCATGATCGCGCAAATGATAGAGCATGCAACAGCTAAAAATTGTAATCGTCAAATCGATGGTCATATCACACATGTACGTATTTTATTACACAACCACAAGTTTCGCTATAGCTGCCATTATTTCGAAAATGACATCCGCTTGTAGCGGATTACATGAGTCTTCAATTTACATGAACATAGATGTTAAGTGAGCATATAAATAAACACCTATTCTTTATTATCTTTTATTATTTGTATTTTTTAAATATGAATAATTCCATTCATCTCGAACCAGGCAATTTCCATCATAAGGAAGAAAAATTAAATAAAAGACAATTAATGATGCCAACGTCTATACAACTTCTTAATTTTAATAATAATATGTTATTTTTATCCTTTAAATATACAAACAACTGCGAACACGAATTTATTTTAGACCCTTACACAAATATGTGGAATATCAATATCGAGAAGAAAACACCAAACTACTTTATCTTATACAGAAGTTGTTTATCAAACGCAGTGTCAAAGACATTACACTGCACAGAACAATCGTGTCATTTGTTTTATTTACCTAGAAAGGACAAACAACATTATATATCACAGCTCAGTTCACATATAATCAAAGACAAAATCCATAAACGTAATATTTTTATTATTTTTTCTCAATATTATGAAACGCTAAAAAGATTAAAAAGAGAAGTGTCAAATAAAGTGTGAGTTTTTCAGTTTTTTTTGTTAAATTATAGAATAAATTGCTTTCAACTAAAGTTTATTATTTCGCGTTAAAATAGAAAACAAGAAATTACACGACGTCAAAGTTTGGATATCCATGCTAAAAACGAGCCTTATACGTTGAAACGACAATGTAATTCTGATTCAGTTATAAATTACGCAATTCAAGAATGCGAACCAGATGTTCCCATTATTGGCTTAGATTTTATGATGTCTCAAGAAGATCCAGAACAGGGATCTATTATTCATAGTCCCATTGAAACTTCGAAGACCTCAAACAATACGAGTATGTGGAGTTCAAAACCTACACTCAATTTTGGTTTTTTCCAAACAGAATATCAAGTATCTGAAGATTTGATATTTGAATAGTAATCAAAAGAGTTTATTTTTATAAAACTTTTCATTTTAATAAAAGATATCTGCATTCATGCTCAATAAATAGGTGATATACAGTGTTTGAAATCTGTGTTCTCAGCGCTCTCATACAGTAAGAATACAATATGTTCACTATTAGAACACAGAAATACTTCAATTTATATATCATGAGAACAGAAAATTTAAATATAACAACAGAAGTATATTTATCGTTCTCGAAGAGAACATTAAATTGAAACGAGATTTCCAACACTGCTGACATAAATTAACTTTGTTAAATGATTTTTTTGAATTTAACATGTCACCCAAGTTAGATCATGTGATTTTAAGGGAACCAATCAAATCGATGATTAATGTACATATAACAAAATTTCAAAAATATATGTTTTCCGTTACACATCGATTTTGCAATTGATTTGTTTACTCTTAAAGTCACATGCTCAGGTTGTAAAAAATTACGAACACCTATTAATTTTAACTTATGTTTTCTTTATAGACTTTCTTTCACGTTTCGGGAAGAGATGATCCGGTTCAATCTGGAAAGTATAGACTCTATTATTTAGTGGGTGATGGTTTTTTTAACCATACTTTTTATCAGTGAATATTGTAATTGAAAATTATCTGTATGAAAAATGCTAATTATGCGATAAATAAAAATATGAACTGATATATTAGATTCTTAAAAACCTTATCATAAGTATCTGACCAGCCCTATATGATCTCGCAGATAAATACATTATTATTGCTAACTTAAACAACTGATACATTTTATAATCACCATTTGATTCTAGGAGTGCGATGACATGATGTTTCATACTATTCACCAATTTCATGACAAGTTTATTTTGGAGATGATTCCATTCCTTTATAAGTTCACTTTTTAATCCCTTAATTGTGCAAATTTTCTTTTTTGTATTTTAATATTCATTAACTGCCATACATTTTCTATAGGATTTTGATTCGGAGACATCAACAATCAGGGATGTTCTTTGACATTGCTTTCTGCCTTCCATTTCTTTGCGATTTTTGAATGGTGCTTGGGATCATTGTCTTCTTGAAAATCCAGTTTAAGCTATTCTCACCAAAAAATTTGGAGACAGAAGTCAGAAAATCCCGCTTATAGATTCTACACATACATAAATCTCACATCAAGATTCTGTTGGAAATATATCAACTCAATAAATTTTCAAGAAGAAAAACACTCTCAAACATGAACGTTTAGCGAATGCTTGACAGTACAAAATATTTTTCTTCTCTCAATGAGCTGCAAAACATTTTTGAGATATATTATATAGTTGAAACGTACTTTCGTCTATGAAAATTATCCAATTCCAATCAAAATTTTGATATTTCTTCACAATCCCAGTCTTGCTTTCTGTTCCTTTGAGCAAAGATTTGGAGATTTCATTAGTATACTTGCCTCCAGCATCATGAAGATGTTACTTTACAATCTTCACACTAATCTCAAGACTCCATTCTTTCATATTTCTTTGTATTTTGCTGGTTATAATATTATTTTCCTCGTTTGATATTTCCATTATATTTTTGACTTCGTTATTGTGATATATGAATGACTTAATCTTCAGTATTTAGATCCTTGTTGTCATGATAATTCTGGATCTAATAAATGGTTGTAGATTTACTACAATTGGCGATTTTCCAAAACTTCACTTTGATCCAGTTAAATGTTCACATAAAAAAATGATTCATATCATTTATCAAGCTTAAGCTCCATTTTTTAGATGAAAATTCAATGATCATTTAAACTCCCTTAACATGTTTCATAAAATTTATAAAAGTGCTAGTGATCAGGCATTTGAGGAATTGTTATAATATAATTTTAGATGATGCCAGATGATCAGATACTTATGATCGCTACTGTTACTAAAGAAGTATGTTGCTAATATTTTTATAATTAATAAAATTCTTGAGATATCAATAATACATATAGTTTTAAAAAATATTATGATGTTTTTTTTAATAAAAATAGCTCTATTGTAACAGATCTTCCTTAAATAAGGAATAAACATTACCTATATTGATTGAGTAATGTTTATTCCGGATGAATCCGTAGATATTCAAGAAACTATCTAGAAAAAAGCACTATCCCGAACAATTACCACTCGCATAAATCTTGAATGCTATAGGAAGAATATTAATACCAGCTCGACTCATTTTGATCATATTTGTCAAATCATTATAAAAGTAGGGACCGGTATTACCTGATAAGAGTTATACGCTAATTGGATAATTATTTTTATAGGGTTAGCTATTAATATTACCATTACTATTACAGTATCTGCTTGAGCTCCACAAAGCTCACGGAATTTTACAGCTTTGTGAAAAGAATTGACAGTATCATTTTTATAGATCTAAGATGAAATTAGCTTATGTGTTTAAATTAATAATTTTAGAGTAAACATAGGCTGAATGTGAAGGTAAACTTTTAATAAATTGCAAAGTCGGGTCTTTAAGATATTAATGCAAAATTTCCATTTTAGGAAAATTTTTTCGATAAGGCATTATTTTGTCAGAGTAATAAATACTTGAGATGAAAAGTTTACTAGAGCGACGAAATTTTAGACGTCCATTTTATTAATACAGGTTTGTTAGGTAAATTTCCGAACTTCGTTTGATATTAAATCACAAATTTCAATTTCAACATAGACGCATACACTGATTTACATCTTTTTAATTACTCAATTCTTCCAAATATTATTTCTAAGATAAAAAATCACCAGATTTGAAAATCGTATTGGTTTTTCGTTAATTATTTTAAGACAAGACAGTTTAAGTTCTCGAATGATTCGTGAAGTGAGACGATATGCATGATCGAGATTTTGTTGAATATAGGAAATTACCCCGTGTGCAGTTCACACCAATCAAATGTTTACGATATAGTTAACTTCAATTCCATATGATACAGATACGTTTATTCATAGCTATATTCATCGCTATAATTTAAATCGCAATGGCGATGATTACTAGCAAAGTGGCCGCCTTGACATTTATTATATATTGATTTGAACTTATTTTGAATATTTAGGTTACAATGATTTTTTATAGAGATAAAATTACATTTACATGTATTTTATTAAATTCTTTGTGAAACAAAATGATTTCAACGGAATCAAAGCTATAAATACCTTAAAAAAAGATATATACATGTATCTCGGTTTTTTATTTCCGGATTATTCTCGGGATAATATTTGTTCCGGAAAAAATAAACAATGTACAAGTACATAATCTACATGTACATGTATAACGATAACTTTAACTTTCCTGTTTCTATTGTATAACTTATCTTTATATGCTAATAGATTTTTGTAAATTAATGTTAATCTCTACTCTGTACAATATCGTTAATCGGACAGTTGACCCATCAAATAGATCAATTATAATTCTAATTACAAATTGTGATATTTAATTTCCTTTCGGAAATATTGAGATAAGAAAGAAATTTGATTCCTCTTTGTGCAAAAAAAATTTGCAACTTATTTCGTTTTACTGTTACGTATCGGTATTACTGATCAAATGATAGTGTGATCATTTCTTTTTATGGGCTAATATGTTGTCTATAGAAGAGAATCAAAAAAACTTCGCCAAAAATGTAACACATATACATGTATTTCAAAGATATCGATAAGACTTAGCCGGTGCGGCACAGCGCTAAAAAATTGTGACGCTCGCAGGAAAAGAAAAGGATATGACAGAGCCTTAATATGCAGCAGGCATTTTGTGCTGCTGCAACATCTATTGAAAATCAATATTTTCGATAAGATGTACGATTCATGAGAAGGATAATTTGCTGTCTACCTGTAAACTTTTTCATGAAGTTTATATAGGTTGGATTTTAAAAGAGAATAACCGCTCAATAATTAAAGATGGAATAATGCTAATAGATCAGCATAATGCAGCAGATAACTGATTCGCGTATAACTGCTGGCTTACATAATGACAAAAAGTAACGGTAATATCCAAAATGACATGCTAATTCCCATTATTAAAAAAGTAAGCAGCGAAGAATAAATTTAGGAAAAACAAAGGTTTTATACTATCAAAATAAAAAGTTATGTGATCAAATGATACGCCATGGAATTTCAACATGTTGTATTCATCCTATTTTTGATTTTATTAATTAAACATTCTAAATTGTACCTTCATAGACAAGTGAAAAATTTTGCTAGAGCGGACTCTGTAAACAAGTACAAAATTCCGGTAGAGTGAGCAATAAAGAAGTACAAAAGTTCGCTAGAACGGAGTCTTTAACAAATACAAAGGTTCGCTAGAGCGGAGTCTTTAACAGGTACAAAGGTTCGCTAGAGCAGTATATAAATAAAGGACGTTTAATCCAACCGTTTATTGTATACAAAAAAAAATTTGCATAATAAAGAACGTTTATCACAACCGTTTATTGTATTCAAAAAATTGCATAATTCACATAATGAATCCTCCCTCGAAAGAAATCACTATAACCGCAGAAGAAGTGGCCATAGATAAACTTCAAAAAAAATTAAAGAATAAAAAAAAGCAAAGCTTCCCAAGACGCATACATTGCTTTGATGTTTATCAACTTGCAATGAAAAAGGCCAACGGAAATAGACTGCTTTTGCCCAGTCGAGAATTTTATAAAATATCCGGAGAATATTGGAAAGAAATAAAGAAGTCTCAAGATAGAAATCTACAAAATGAATACAAAAAAATAGCGCGAGATGCACAAAAAATTTTAGATGAGATGTTAAATCATGACATTCTAGTCGAATGCTCGCAATGTAACTTCAATTACTACGGATATTATCCAAGCATCTCGAACGAGACGTCGTCGCAACCTTGCCAATCTCATTTAATTGCACATAACTTCGCTCATTGGCAACAAAATTAAACGCAAAACACGACTACATGTATCACTTTTATCATATTTGTTTAATTTTTTAATTTCATATTTTTTTAACTTAAATTCATATGCATGTACATGTATTATTATCTATTAATAAACTTTTATTTTTTTTTCTAAATGTAATTGGTTACGTATTCGGAGTTCATGGATAAATATTCCAATAACCGCGATTTGTCGGAAAATTAATGTATATACCGATACATATATGTATTTACTTTTAAAGATGAGTGGCTGTTCATCAGTTGTTTACCAAATACGTATATTTTGCGGAGAAATTTGATTTTTCAAAAGTTTCTTTATAAAACGTCACAAAAATGGCAGAAGACGCTTGTGCTGCTATTTTCCTTAACAGGTGTCTTTGTCAATTTGCTATTAAAAATCGTGTCTCAAAAAATCTTCGGTTAGCAAGGCATTCGTTTTAAAAAGAGTTCGGTTTAATGGGGGTTTGTCAATATGCTATTATTCATAGTTACTCCATTAACTTGAGAGGGAAAAGGTTCCATATATGTACTGTGGCTGATTCATACTTTATAAGAACGTAGTCCATCATTTGATCAATCTAATGGACTACGCACCTTGTAGATCATAATACATATTTTTTAGTTAAAGTTGTTTTTAACTATTTGTGTTTGTGTTTGTGTAATGGCAAAGGTAGCATCTCGTTAAGCCGAAGTGGTCAGTGCTATTAGTAAAAAATTCGGTTTATCAAAGAGATTAACGATAATTGTTCCCGGAATTACTTTAATATAATTCTTAAAAACGAAAAGCTTCACGTATTTTGCATAATGAACTTTTTATTAAATGGTTTTTTTTGAAGAGAAAGAATTTTCCAACAGAACAAAACTCATCCGTAAGCATTTAAAAAAGTTTCATATATACGATTATATTATTGTGAAATAATATCTCTTAAAACTTTAAAGTAATAACATGGTTTCTTAAAATTGGGGTTCCAATACAACAAATCTTTGATGTCATCTAGAGCACCAACATCCAAATATAAATTCAAAGAAAAATTCCGATCGAAGTATATTAGACGATTTTATATAGAATTCCATCCAAAATATGAATTTTATATAAAATAAACATTAAACCTCGTAATAGTTTTTTATTGTTTCGCAAGTTTTTCTGATGGAACTGGTTTGCAGACAATAGATGTAAACTTAAAAGAGAAAGAAACATACAATACATGTACATTGATTACAAAATTCGAGTCGGTCGAATTAAATTATCTTCAAATTCAGAGCTATATAAATGCTAAAACGAGTATTTTTATATGTTAATTTTTATACTCGGGTCGAATACATATATGTCCCAAACCCGACCCTTTCGGAGCACTAGTTCATAAGCCCGAATGATCGAAATCCCGAATGAACGGCATCCTGAAAGTATAGTGTCTCAAATGCATGAAATATTAAAATTATTACGATTTCGAGATCACGTACATTCGGGATTTCGATCGTTCATTCGGGATTTCTTTCATCCGGGATGTCGCTTACTGTGTTCTTCCAGATTTCGTACCACCCATTGACTTTTAAATACGTATATTAAAGTGAAATTTGATTTTTCAAAAATTCTTTATTCATTTTCTTTTGTCTTAACGAGCTTCAGACCTACCTTTCTAATTGGATATTAAAAGCCGTGCTTCAAAAACTCTTCGGTTTAACGATAGCTAACTATGTACATGCACGTGTATTATCAATACCTAAACATTCAACTTATTTGAGTTATCGATCACAAAATCTTGTGCTCAGATGACGAAAAATTTCCTTTCAAATATGGATTTTTGTTCATGCATTCAGTTACAGAACCAATTTCTTATTTGAAATGTCTTTAATCATATTATTTTTATAAGCTCGATTACCGAAATCCCGAATCAGGATTTCGATTGTTCGGGATGCCATTCTTTCGGTTTCGTTTATCAAGCTTATGAACGTTCGCAGACTCATATTGTGCTCTAATTATATGAATATACGTTTCTTTAGGCAATTGTGCTTAATGTGAACTACAATGGCAATCAAAAATAATGCAACATTCAAATGAAAATTTTTAAATGAATGATATTTCCTTTAATTAAAAGTATCAAAAACATGATTAATATGATTAAATAATACAATCCTATAGTTTAACATATTATAAATTCAATGAATCTCATATAGCCATCATAAGTCAGAATTCTGAAAGATGATGTAAATAATTATTGATAATATTCTATAGGCTTTTAATTGAATTGAGATCAGGTGATTGGAATGATCAATTAAGTATATTAACTTTATTATCAATAAATTATTAATGAGTTTTAATGGCAGATTGTTTGAATTGTTATCCAGTTAAAAAATGATATCATTTAGTACATAAATGAAATTATTAATAATCTCTAAAAAATTCTTTAAAAGAATTTTCTATATAATACTTCATTTATTCTGTTATAAATCTTACAAAGATTATTAATACTATGAGCAGTAAAATAATTTCATACTATTATTTTTCTACTATAAATTTTAAATATATAAACTTTTTAATAATTTTCTTTTTCTTTTCAATAATACTTATATTTATCTGATCTAAAAATATTAAACTTTAACTTATTAATCAATTACTCTTATCTAATTTAATTTTGTATATTTTTGTAAAATTAAATCTATATTTTTAATGCTTCTTTTTAGATATAGCTTTTTATATTTTATTCTTAATACTAATTTATAATTATCAAATATATAATAAATAACTAGTATAAATATTTATATTTTTAATTAATTTTGAACTTTAACTGTAATTAAGTATCTATAAGTAAGAATTAGATTAATAATTTTTCATGTTATTTTTTATTTATTATATAGATATCCAAATTAACTAATATTTATAAGAATATATTTTCTTATTCTCTTTACTTAATATAAATAATGTATTAATATTTTTATTATATTATTTTTTAGTATTGTAATTTTTCTTGAGAATAATAAGAATTTTTACTCTTTATTTTGAAGTAGTATAATATTTATATAATAATTCAAGATTAATAATTAATTTTACAGATCATTAATCTGTAGTATTATAATTTATATTATATTATATATTAAGAATTATATTACATTATATTTTATTAATTAATATTATACAAGATTAATTGTTAATAATTATATTTCTAGTTAGAATTTCTATTCTCTCTTGTATATTATTTTTAGTAGTTTATTTTTTCTTATAATTTATTTTTATTATATTTATCTTATAATAAATATCTTTTGAAAGTACTATTAATTTAATATTTATATATTAATAATTTATATACTTCTAAATTATTATTTAAAAATCTTTAATTCTGTTTTATAATTTTTAATTTTAATAAAATAAATATAATTTTATATAATTAAATTAAATTTATTCATTTTTAACTTACTTTTTCTATATATATAATATGTAATAAAAATAATAAAAATTTGTAATATAAATTAAATTTGTATACAAAATAATAATTCATTTATTTATATAATTTACAAAACTAAATATTTATTTATTTATATTCTATTAAATATATAAATAAATAAAAAATTTACTATTATTTTCATTTTTATTACTGAAACTTATAAAAAAATAATTGATACAAAGCTTAAAACTTAATATAAAATTATTTTATATTTTTAACTCAATAATATCTATTTAATTAAAGAAATATATCAAAAAATAAAAATTTCTCTTTATACTATTAATATAATCTTTAAAAGCTTAAATAAATCAAATATAATAATAACAGACTATCTAAAATTATATAAATACTTATATATTTTTTGGATTAATATATTTATTATAATTTTGTCTTAATAATTCAATAACTTTCTTTATTAGTTCAGAAAAAGTATAATATATCAGTTTCTTATTCTTTTATTTAGAGATATATAAAAAAAGATATAAAACTTTATATTTCTTAAATATTTATATTAATAAGTTATTATATTAAAATATAAAAAGTATAAATATAAGTTTATATAAATACTAACTAAAACAAAATATTTATAAATAAAATTATTTTTGGTCTTTTTAGAAATAAAGTTAATAAATAATACAAAGATAATAATAAATTAATATTTATTAAGAGTATGTTAAAAGATAATGATATGAAGTGGAATCTTATTAAAAGATAAAATATTTTTATTTTGTTTTATTAATATAATAGATAACTCTTATTATATAAATATTTTGCAAATATAGCTTCTATTTATTGCAAAAAATTTATATAATAAAGACTAATATTTATAATAGAATAATAATTCTAAATATATTTTGTATATTATAAAAAATTTTTATTTAAAATAAATTTCAGATTATAAAGTAATTATTTAATAGTTATAACTTAAATTTTATTAAAAATATATAAATATTATAAAAAATAATATTAAAAGTATATATTACAAAATATTAATAAGTTAAAATAATTTATAGTTAAGAAATAAAAAAAATTTCTCAAGAAATAATTAAAAATTTAATTAATTCTATAAAAAATAAATGTGAACTAATTTTTAAAAAATAATAATAATAGAATTAAATATTAAATTTTTTATTTAATAAAATATTTTATAAACTTTTAAATAAATTAAATTTTAATTAATTATCTCATAATTATTAAGATATATAACTTTTTATTATTATCATTATTTTTATTATTTATTATAAATTCTTGTTAAAATATATTATATAATAAAAAAATTATAACTTTAATAGTAGCAAAAAAGACTGAATTTTATTAAAATTCAAATATATATTATATATAAATTTATACTTTAATATATATATATATTTGTAAACTTATATAAATTTATATATATATATATTATTATATATTAATTATATTATATATATTTTGTTTGAATAACTTATTATTAGTCTTATTATTCTTGTTATTTAGTAATAAAATTTTATAATTATACTTATAAAATTATTAAAACTAAAAATATTAAGAAAATATAAGTATATATTGAAAATTCTAAAAAAAA